ACGGCCAAAAGATTTAAGGGCTAACGCTCGAAACCTTAACTTTTTAATTCGTTACGGTGGCCAATTTACAACTTCAACTTAGCAGATATAACCAAATTAAAAAATGTAACCGTCAGGCGTAAAAGCCGTCACCCCATGAAGACTTCGTGTTAAGCCTCGCCAAGTTCACTGGATATGCGATCTAATCCCTTTACGTCTCCTTTCTGTGTTGGGATTTCTCAATTTGCGGCGAGTGTCAAGTCTGAGGACCAATAGTCCAAACTCGCGAAACATGCTACATCTTATACTGATCACTGGAGACTTAGTGGTTTTCTATCAAAACTCGTGACTTGCGTTAAGACCAGTCTGCTGTTATCAAAGTCACCAGAAAGTCGTGTGATAATTGCTCAGCCAATTTCGGACGCTATGAGCCTGTCCCCCGTGAGTTTTGACCCTTCAGTGCATCATAATAATAATAATAAGTAAGATCTTTTGACAGGGAGCCCACGTCACAAAGTGTGGTTTTCAGTGAGGCCCTGCATAAATCTAAGGTAAGGATAACAGAAAATATAAATATGGTTATCAAGAAAAGGATAAAAGGGCATAATCAATAGAAGAGACTACATATTTTTAACAAGACGTCTAAAAACTGAAAAATCGGAAATGTTGCTAATGCCGTCTGGGAGAGCGTTCCAGTCATCTACTGCATGACAAACAAACCGATGCTGACCCCATGTACGCTTTGATTGTGGTTTACAAATGTTGTTATTAAAACGAGTGTTATAATCATGCATGTCTTTAAAATGATTAAAATTAAAATTCCAATCAATTAGTCCATTCAAGGACTTAAAAACCAAAAATAGACGATGAGATCTTCGTCTTTTTTCCAATGTATCCCAACCAAGTAGATCAAGAGCTTCTGTTGCTGATGAATGCTTTGGCATATCTAAAATTAATTTAGCTGCTTTATTCTGGAGTAATTGGATCTTGTTCATCAGAGTGGTGTTGGATTTATCCCCCCAAGTCACATCAGCATAATCAAGGATTGGCAGCACCATGGCTTTTACAAAGAGTTCCCTTGTATTTCTTGGCATAAGATGTTTTATTCTCTGTAAAACGCCAAGCCTCTGAGACACTTTGGTCTTAATGTAATCCACGTGATCAGTCCAAGTCAGATTCTCATTGATAATTACGCCCAGATACTTGAACGAATTGACTCTGTCTAACTCCTTCTCCTTGATT